GCCAAAGCAGATTGTAAGAGAGTCTCAGTCATTTTTCTGACCTATTCTGGTCAGTTAGCTTCAGTCAATTAGCATTGTCGTTGTTCAATGGATTGTTAAAATAAATAACCAGTCAGAATGGTCACTAAATGTTTGTTAGAATAGTCACTAAATGTTTAATCATCGTGGAGGTGTGTTTTCATGACATTGTGACGGGTTTATATTAATTATTTGGTTAAGTGGTTAGCACTTAGTTTCCCCCCGGCCTGCTAGCTATGGTATATAATGAACCAGTCAGAACTCCAAACACTCCAATCAGACACACACGAGACAAAAAAACAGAAAACAAAAACAAACATAACAACAAAAAATAACAAAAAAATACAATAAAAAAAGAAAAGATAAAAAGGGGGACAGAAAAAAAAAACACACCCTCCCAACCACTACACATACACACCTCTCACACTTCACCCTGGGAACCCTCCTGCTGTGAGGCCACAGTGCTGACCACCACACTGCATTACCTCATTATTTTGTAATGTTTTTAATAAAAGACCTCTAAAAATTCTAGTGTGCAGAGAACAAAGATTTTATCATGTCAGCCTGTAGTTTCTGAAAGAAAGTGAAGCTAATTAACTTGTTTCTATTTATTCACAAAGGCCCCAGGAAATATGAATATGAAGGTAGAAGAAGAGGACAAAGTCTCCCTGATGGTCTAATGGCTAGGATTTGGTGCTTTCACCACCACGGCCCGGGTTCGACTCCCGGTCAGGGAATGCTTTTGTCTTTATAACACAATACCGACGGGGCAGATCAGAGAAAGTGACAGAACAGTTCGTTGTGGAGGGAGGAAGATGTTTTTTGTCTCTTTTGGGTGAAATCAAAGAGTTCGTGCAGTCCCGAGGTGAAGATGTCTCCCTGCTCAGGGACACCTGACCTTGCATTTTTGACGGACATTACTTGGAAACTAAAACACTTGGACTGAGAGCTGTTGTTGATATGATAAGCGCTTTAAATTCATTTAAAGATGAACATTTTAACATGTCATTTACAGAGAAAAAGGCGGGGCACTTTCCCTCTGGGCTGTCGGTGTAAGACAACCTTTTTGTCTTTGCTGATAATTGGGTGAAATGATTAATGTGTTATATTCATAGAGATGAGTATCATCAATCATTAATAATATATAATTAGTAGCTCTCAGTTTCAAAAAGGTTGGTGACTCCTGAGTTAAAGTTTCACCACGGGGCAGTAAATAAGCCCTCTATATATGATGTGTCCTGTTTCATTTTTAGCATGTGTTGCCTAAAACTGTGCGCTTCATAATTAGAATAATAAAGTGATTAATACGCTCCAAGTCAGGCTTCACCTTCATTGGCTGAATTCCATTGTGAGCTCGGGTGTGGATAGGCAGGTAAACTCGTTTAATGGTTGCCGCTCCAAAGAATCAGCACGGCATTGGGAGATAAAAGCAGCTCCTGTCGAGCTAGCTAGGAGTCAAACCTAGAATCTTCTGATCCGTAGTCAGACGCATTATCCATTGCGCCACTAGCCCTCACATTGGCTGGGAACATGGATTGTGGCCTAAAGGCCTAAAGGTGGATCTAATGCAACAGAGAGAGAAAAAGAGAGAAAGGAAGAGTCTGTGGGCACAGCCAGACTTCAACAAAAAATATATTTCTATTAGGAAATAAAAACAATCATTAATTTACATAAATCATGTGATAGCATAAAATGCTAAAGTGAGCAATTATAGCCAAATTCTAACAAAAGGCTAACATGACAAAGGCCACAATGACATCACACAGTGACATCTCTATGGTAACAGTAAAAACACACACATCTGTTATCACATCTCAGTGGAACCTCCATGGATTAGTCTGTCTCCATCACAGAGAAACCTGCACCTGTACCAAACAGTCCTCAAGACAAAACATTAAGAGATAAAGTATGAGAAGACTTTCTCTGAGACCTAGCTTCATGGACTGAGTTATGATGCACATATCCTCACAACAATAATACAATAATAATTTTACACAAGTTGACATAATTCTGCATTGGTGCTGTTCCCCATCATGGACCAATGCCTACGTTGTTCAGAAGAATGGAAGACAAATGAGCAACAAGTGTTGTGATCACTGTAAAACCTCTATGCACCATCTAAGACACAGAGGGATTGTGAACAGAAACTGTCAATCCTAACTGTAGGCCTTCAGTTACACTGGTCCCTGAACAAGCCCCAGTCATTTCAGAAGACACAACATCTGTTACAGTTCAGTTTGAAAATGACTCTTTCAGTGTCCTACAGAAGTCAAGATTTTATTGAGTTTTTCTTTTGTTTAGTGACAAGGTTGCTAGCATAAACACACGCAGTGCTAATGTGCCTCAGTGACAGAGGTGATGGCGACCATCTGCCAGGCGCAAATTCTAATCTTATACTCCTCACCAACCAGCTGATAACAGAAGAAGCATTTTAGAAGACAGCTGAAGTCTGATAAAGTAACAGGAATGAGAAAAAGGCTGTCAGCCGAAAAAGGTTTGTGCTTTTCCCTTTGGTAGGGCCTTTTTCTGGCACGAGACAACAACAACATACAAATCAGGTGTGTCGAATTCACCCGTAAGTGTCTCTGTGGCGCAATCGGTCAGCGTGTTTGGCTGTTAACTGAAAGGTTGGTGGTTCAAGCCCACCCAGGGACGTCTACCTTTATGCACATAAGCAGCAAGTAAATGCAAAGCTATTTCCATGTAGAATTCCATGGGGCCTTTAAACTAAAGTTATATGCAGGATGCATTTGAACAGAACGTGAAATATCCCAGCGGCCATTGTTGTGATTCAAGCCCTTTCGTTAGATTGGCCATTAGTATAATATATATAGTATATATTTATGTTACAATGTTTTGACTTGTCTGTATAGTGATTTCACTGTTCGGTGTCACTGTTGGAACTCATGGGACTCTGTCAATTGTGGTGTCACTTTTTAATATCATTGTGGCCGTTGTGATGTCGGTCTTTGGTTGAGTAGGCATCCTGATTTCTTTTTTATCCTGAGTGAGCACCCTCTTCTTTGCCCCATCCTTATTATCTACATGATGTGCTTGTTGGAACCAGAATAAAAAACATGATACAATTCGTGTATTTTTCAGATAAAAAATAACTGACCAATGAATTGATGTGTCATCTGTCCAACATGCAGAGGAATTAGCAGAAGAGTTGTCCAGGATGAGATCTGAAGAGCTACCAAAAGGCCTGATGGGACAAGCATGCAGCATGGATCATAATGAGAACTCTAAACACACTGGGTTACAGCTTCTATAAAAACTATCATCACTCTGTTCTCTCCCATCAATGGTTTCATTCAAACCACTAAAACACTGGATGAGCTCAGTGAACCATCCCTAAGTGTCAGAGGTCAGCACTCACATTACCAAAACATCTCTCCGACAAGGGTGGGATTCGAACCCACACATGCAGAGCACAATGGATTAGCAGGCCATCACCTTAACCACTCGGTCACCTCGTCTCACTTATAAAAAGTAAACCAAGCTAAAAAAACAGTTTATGCCTTTTTGTGAGGTCTTGCATGATCTGTATTTTGGTACAGGAATCGGAACGTATCAGACCAAGGTGGCCTGGGAGGGGAGGTCCAGGCAAGTCCAACTGCTCCGAGATTACACTACGTGTTGCTTGAAAAATGTCTTTCAAAGCAAATCAGACCAGCTCCACTTACTTTCAGAAACTACAGGGTGACATCACAAAGGCCACAATGACATCAAACAGTGACATCACTATGGTAACACCAAAGCAGGGGAGTGTTTTGTTGTGGGTAAAGCTGGAGAGAAAGAACTGGACAGAACACAGTCAGTGCATCCCTTCGATAGCTCAGCTGGTAAAGTGGAATACTGTAGATGACCAATGACTGATAGATTCTGGAATCTTGAAGGTTGTTCTTGACATCACAAATATCACCATGACATCAAACAGTGTCATCACTATGGTTACAGTAGCATCACAGAGATCACAATGACATTGCACCCTGTCATCACTGTGTCAACAATAAAATCATAGACTAATATCACAAAGGCAACAATGACATCATTGAGATAAAGGAGTTCCATTTGTTTGCTTAATTTTCCAGATTTAAATGGATTGTAACATCTCGTTCATCAGATCTTTCCTGCATCTACAGCCCTGTAACAGCACTGTGAGCCACCTTCCAGTTTCTCTGAGATGTTCTACAGTTTAAACTCAGAGCTGATTCAGGTTAGCAGTGGAACAGTTCAGCTTTCACTGTGAGCTCATTTACAGACCTCAGTTTGGAGGTCTGTATTGTCAATTAACAGATTGGAGCATTGCTAGTCTGGTATTCCACCTGGTATTCCACCTTGTCTCCACAGATTGCTTCAGTGACTGGTCCAGTGCTTTTTGCAACCTAAAATATAAAGAGATTGCACAAGAAAAATGGATGTTACGGTGACACAAATTCAAATTCATTGGCCTCTCTTTTGAGAAAACAACATCTATTTTTAAAAAAAAGAGAGATTTATTTAAAATTGAGTAAAAAACAAAGACCTGTGCAGGTATAAATGACAGTAGCTTCTTTTTATTTATTTAACTTTAATTTCTTTCAAATTATATAAGCAGTTTTACCAGGAAGACATCAAATTTATGCTATTTTACCCTGCTCTTTTGAAGTGTGTGACAAGGGTCTTTGTGTCCTTAAACAGCTTGATGATGTTGCTGTGCACTGGGTTGTTCTCGTCCAAGTGGTCAAATACATATTTTAAGATTAAGTTGATATTATGGCCAGCACAGAGTCGGACATAATCCTTGAATGCTGCAACCACATTTGAGCCATTATCCGTTACAAAA